AGGGCCAGTGTTCCAGGAGAGCCAGCCCCTGACAACCTGCCCAGAAACCTTTTCTGGGCCACTCCCAACTCGAGGGTCTGCTTAGACGTGAGATGCCATCTAGGGGATCGGTGGCCTTTCTGGGTTTTCTTCACTCCAGATGGGTCTCGGAGGTCTTCAGAGAACAGTATTTCTGGTGTCTGCTCCCTGGGTGTCATTTGAAATGGTCCCTGTATTTGTGGTCAGGATGCTGTTGGCCGTGAAAGCAGGATTGTATTACCCTCCGTATGTGATCACGACAGGAAACCCGCTGCTATTAGCCCATTCCGACTCAGCGACCCTGTCCAGGGTTTCCAAGACTGAAGCCTCTGTGGGAACAGCTGCTGAGTTTGAACTGCTGACCTTGTGCTTAGCAGCTCCAACACTTAGCCCGCTGTGCCACCAGGATTCCCTTGATCATGACCGTAGTGCACGAATAGTGAGCAGCCACACCTGACGGATCTTCTCTTAAAATACGAAGGCCCCACACAGCCGTCATCAGTCCCCACCTAAACACTACGGGGGACTCCTGGTGTGGCGCTAGGGGATGCGCGCTGGGCTGCAAACCACAAGGTTGGCAGTTCCAACCCGCCTACTGCTCCTCGGAAACCCTGTACAGGGTCTCTGTGACTTACAACGCAACTCAACAACAACAAACACTGGGGGAAAGGCACTGGTGGTTCAGCAGTAGGATTCCCATCGTCCACGTGACGACCCCATTGCTATCTCCGTCCAGTGCACCTCCCGGACTGCCATCTCCCGTGGGCCGTGGAAGCGTGTGGGTGGCTCTGATACTCACAGGATTCCGCAGTTTCCAGATGCAGACAGACTGGAGAGAAAGACCGATGGATCACGTAGCTCCGAGCCAAGGCACCAGGAAACCTTTGGTTCCTGTGTGTATGGAGTTGCCTGAGTCAGGGACTCACTCACTGATGGTGACAATCCTAAGAGGAGGGTGGGAGACAACTTTTTTTTCCTTTACTGAGAGAAAAGTGAGCTGGCCTGAAGAGTGCCATCCACGACAACTGACCGTGGACAAAACCGCAGTGCCGTCGAGTTCTGCAGACTCCCAGCGACCCGAGAAGACAAGGAGAGCTGCTTTGTGGGATCTTCTGTACGGGAGCAGGCAGGCCCCACTGACTTGGGCAGTCCTGCACCAAGCTGGCCAGAGAAGGACTTGGCTTTAAGGGCCCCAGAGGCTCCCTGGCAGTTGTATGTTTGAGTCTCATCTTATTGGTAAACAATTGCTGACTTATGAGTGCGTAGCAGAAGCTACCTTCTCTGCTTTACTTGTGAGCTGGTGACCTTGCCACATGAGGAACCTCCATCCAGCCACTGGGCTTTGAGCCTAGCTGGCAACGTGTCACCCTTCACCTCGATTCCCAGTGCTCTGGGACCAGGGTCACATGTGACAGCTGTCACGAGCCTAAAATAGAGTGAGGAGGTTTCTAGAGGGAGTGTGTTCATCAGCGAAACCATCTCTTTCCTAAGTCATGCTGAACTTGGAGGGGAATTCCGGCTTTTGTCTATCAAGAAAGTACCTGCGGTAGGGATGGAGATGCTGATGCAGCTCCCCGTAGGGCGCAGGTCAAAATCCCAGGAAATCCAGGAAACTGCAGATTTTTGTTGATGCATTTGCATTTTTTGGGGACAAGGGTTTGTGGTTTTCAGCAGTGTTATGAGAACTCCGGGAGATTTTTAAGAACCACTGGAATCCAATGTACCAAGTGGAGTTGTGTGAAGAGCCATTCTGTATGACTCGTGTTGTCTCTGTGGGCTAGCAGATGATATTTCTCATCTCCTGTCCTGACTGTTTCCCACCCACCAACCTTCCAGTCTGCCTTTGTCTCCTCTGTCCATCCTGTGACATGGTCCACGTGGAAGGCACCACCTGATGCTTGGAAACTATAGAAATGAATCTAAAATGCTTCTGCTTCTGTGGAGCCTAGAGCCTGGGAGAGATCGGCGAAAGCTCATACCTGTGGACTCCAGAGACCAAAGGAGTTGCAGAGACCTTCTCGTCGACCCAGTGTGGCTCTACTACCTTCTGGTGGTGTCCAGCCGTGACATCCCATGGCTCCTACCAGCTGGCCCTCGGTCACTTCCCCTTACCTCATGGGGTGACCAGAACAAACCTCTGGTCTTGTCCATGTGCTCTTATTGATCCTAGTGTGTAAAGATGGAATCTCCTGTCTTTCTGAAATAGGCCATGTCTCCTCAGATGAGAGTTCTGTGTACCTTCAGCTTTGAGGCGGACTCAGCATGTGCAGTGACCCTATGAAATGTTTACAGCTTTGGTCAAACTGCCCCTTCCAGGGCTTATGCCATTGTGTTGTATGTAATCTTTATCCAAAGAGTCATAAGGTCGGTTCTACACCAGACATACTGAAGGTTTGCATCATTCAGTTACGTTTGTTTACCAGTGAGGTCGTGGTTTTCTTAATAGAGACTTTGCCTTTCGCAGAAAGGTCTGTGGTTAGCAGCTAGGACTTGGGCGGGATGATGGTGCTTCATGGTGATCTCAGAGAGCCAAATGTCTGTCTTGTTCTCCTTCCCACAAAGTGCCTTCCTCCCCACAACTACCTCAAGATGGCTACTGCAGCTTGAGCCACCACACCACCTTCCAGTTATAGTTGAGAGGGAAGGGCAAAGAAGATGGCTAAGGGAGTGGTCCAGCTGGCTTTAAGTAAGGTTCCCAAGAGTTGCCCCAGGCCGCCTCTTTGTGCAGTCCCCTGGCCCGAACTCAGCTTCCTGATGTTCCTAGCTGTAGTGCCATCTTTGTCTTGGACAGCCTTGGGCCTTGCTAGGAACTGAGCCTTCTGTTCATTTGGAAGAGAAGGAATGAAAACAACTACTAGGTGACGGCAGGCAGTGTCCGCTGCCCTTCGCATCCTTTGCTCTGGCTGTTAGCATCCTGCCGTGCCCTGGGCCCCTATGTCCATGGCCTTCTGCCCTGAGATGACATCTACTTCCTCTTCTCACTTGCCTCTGGATTTTCCAGCCTTGCTCATGAGGTTTTCTAGCAAGGACATCTTTGGTGATAACCAACTCAAGTCATTTTTAGAAGTAAATATAAGTGAACTGAAGCTGTTGTTGACATTAAATGCTGCCAAGTTGGTTCTGACTCATAGAAACCCTGTACAGGGTTTCTAATAAGTGAATGGTGGGTTTGAACCACCATCCTTGAGGTTAGCAGTCCAGTGCTTATCCTACAGCACCACACCTGAAACTAGAATAAGATCATTGTAGATTCCCTAAGTTTAAGACTAGTGATACTTCAGGATACTGCTCTGGACCGCAAGATTGGTTTGAACGGTAAAGTTGGTGTTTCCAAACTTACCTTGGAAACTGTAAACGGGGTCGCTATAAGTCGGAATCTACTCGACACTTAACGATACAATAACAACAGGTTTAAAAACTAACATGATAAATGGAGAAAAGATTGAAGTTCCCAACGTTTTCATTTTGCTTGGATCCACCATCAACAGCCGAGAAATCATATGACCTACTCCATTAGACAAATCTCCTGCGCAAAACCTTTTTAAAATGTTCAAGAGCCAAGATGTGAGTGTGAGGGCTAGGGAGTGCCTCTTAGGCCTATGAAAGTGAGACACTGAATAAGGAAAGACCACAGAAGAATTGATGCATTTGAATTATTGAAAGTACCATGGACTGCCAGAAGAACAAACAAATCTTTATTGGAAGAAGGACAGCCAGAATGCTCCTTTTGAAATCTCATACTTTGGACACATTATTGGAGTGACCAGTCCATTGAGAAGAACATCATGCTAGGTAAAGTGGAGGGTCACTGAAAAAGAGGACGACTCCCAAGGAGATGGGTTGACACCGTGGCGGCAGCAGTGGACTCAAGCGGCACGGCAGAGAGGACGGTCCAGGGCTGGGCAGTGGTTTTTCTGGTGTGCGTAGACAGGGTTGGTGTGAGTCAGAACGGAGTTGACAGCATCTAACAGCAAACCGTTTGGGAAAAAAACGCCGATTCTACTCGGACCTGCTGTCATCCGAAAGCCGTGTTCTGACTGTGACAATACGAAAATCAGCCTGGGACCACGTACTTGATTCTCTTAGGAGACAGGGAATTCTGTGCTGGCCAGTGAAAGGGCGTCCGCTTCTTCAGACACGATCATTCCGAGCCTGTCTGGTGTTGGTCTCATTGCTCATTCGTGTCACAGACTTCGCTAGGCTTCCTATGCACAGCCAACTGGAAGACATCATGTGCTTTAGGCAGCTTAGACCGGGTTGCATGGTCCCATCTGGGGCTCTTACAGATGACAGTCCCTTTCCATTCACAGACACCCTGTAGGGCCCAGTAGAACTGCTCCAGGGGGTTTTCAGGGCTGTCCTCTCTAAGAGACCGCCACATCTTTCTCCCGCAGAACGACTAGTGGATTTGAACCACCAACGTTTTGGTTACCAGTCCATTGATAATCCAGCACACCACTAGGGTCTCCTGTCAGAGACCAACCTGGTATGAGGTAGGCTTCAGCTCAGATCTCCCTCAGAAGCAGCAGCTTAGAGAGTCCGCTAATCATCTTTTATGGTCTTTGCTTTTTGAAGAGTAACAAACATTCTATTCAGATTTTTTTGTGTGTGGTGAGATGTAAATACCCAAACAGCTGCCATTTCAACCCCGTTTGCATGTGCGATTCAGTAACAGTAACTGTATTCATCATGTTTTACAATTGTCTCCACTTAGGACCCCCTGAGCAGCATCTCCTCCCTGTCGCCCCTGGCCCTAGGAACCACTGATCCATCGTGGTCTCTGCATTTGCCTAGTCTAGATTTTCCACATAAGCAGGAGCATACCGCGCTTGTCCTCTGGTGTGCGGCTCAGAGAGTTAGTGGACTTCATAGTTGTCCTTTGCCTCGTGTTTTCACTTTCCACTGCTGTTGGCTGGCGGCCTTGCCAAAGTGGGTGTGATCTGTTGTGGTCTGAAGACCCACACCGACCTCCTCCTTTTCAGGAAATGGACGGTGTGCTGAAAAGCATGCTCTCAGAATGGTTCTCCTCCGGGTTCCTCAACCTAGAACGGGTCACCTGGCATTCCCCGTGTGAGGTGCTTCAGAAAATCAGTGAGTAAGTATCCACGCTCGCCCTTCCTGTCTCCTCTCTCTCCTATGCCTCACAAGGCAGTCTGCGCAAACGCAAACACGGTGGCGCCTATCGCAGGCGGTCCCATAGTCATGGAGGAGAAAGGGCTTGGCTGGAAAGTGTGTATCTGCTGGGGACTCTTGTTAACCGACTCAGACGGCCCAGTCACTGGACGCTGTGTGCACACGGGTCATCAGGCTGGCACTTCGTTCATCTCCCTGTTAACATTCCTCCTAAAATGAAGTGACTGCACATATGATAAAGGAATAGTCGCCGTTGAGTTGGCCCACCGTTTGTCACCCCATGTGTCGTGTGTGTGAGTAGAACTGTGCCCCCATAGTGTTTTCGGTGGTTGATTTTCAGTTTACCCAGGCCTTTCTGTCCAAATCCTCTTTTAGGTGAATTTCAATCTCCAGCCTTTCCATTAGCAGCCAAGCAGGGACACAACTTGTAACTGCAGGTACACGTGTCACGCTTGTCCTCATAACCCAGAGAACCTCGTTTCACCTCAGAATCTCCACAGCCTGGTTGTCTGATGGCATCTCTGGCTTAAAAGTGCCCCAGTGGTGGGAGTGTAGCAGACTGGGGGGCTGACAGGGCCTGCTGCCATGCTGCCTGCTGACCTCTAAGTAGTGGTCCAGTGTGGCGGCCACACAGACTCAGGGACAAGGGTTAGCAGTGACTTCAAACTTGCAGGGGCCAGAGGAGATTAAGCCCTTGGTTAGATTTCTACATAAATGTTTCCTGAGAGCATCACAAATAACATCTTAAAACGAATCAAGCTCTTGAGCTCAAAACAAAATTGAACTTCCTCCTAGTCAGTGCTGTCTCCCACAAAGATGGTTTTCTTGGAATCTTCCTGACACGTCGACTCAGGCGATATTTAAAGGACTTGTCTGACTCCCGTGAATGGTTCTGGAACTTGTCCATGAGCCTGTTGTCGCGTTTTTTGATACTCACCAGGTCTGAAGCAGTGCATCCTGTGAAAAATTGGATGGATATAAAGCGTCGCGTGGGGCCTTACAGAAGATGCTACTTTTTTTCTCACTGCTCCACCCCAGAGGAGCCACTGGTGGTTCTCCATGTGGCCCTGACCAGCGACATCTCCAGCAACATCCAGGTATTTTTGGTTTTGTCCACCGGGAGCACTCGTTGGCCTCCAAGGCTCCTGATAAGCCTTTATTTTTCTTAGTTCATTTTAGCCTGGCTTTTAAAAATAAATGGTGGTGGATTTTTACGAATTTTGAGGTGAGGTGGAGTGTCGAATACAGCCCCATAGTGTAGAGGAAGGTCCGTACTAGAGCCGCTGGGTTTATGGATCTTGTGCAGCAGGGAACGGTCCTGGGGGAACGGTTAGGATGCGTGTCGCAGTGTTCTGGCATTTGTAAAACGCCTATAAGGAGTTTAAAAGACACATGATAGAAAAAGCGGCTGCTTACTGTCATCTTGTATGACCCCAGAACTCTGCTGGGTAAGTGGAGATTCTGGAAATTGGTTGCCCCTGTATGTAACAGGCATGTCTTCTCCCGGAGTGGCCCGGTGAGTGGTGAGCACGGTCACACAGGTGACAGAGACGCCATTTCTGAACCCACAGAGTTAGCTCTTCCCTGCATGTGTTCCAGGAGGGGCCCACTGCCCTCAAAGCACACCCTTCACGTTCTCACAGACCCCTTTGAGAACCAGTGGGAGGAGAGTGGAGGGCCTTGCCTCACGGGAAGTGAAGTTGTATTAGACACAACTTTAGAAATCACGGGGGTTCCCAGAGACCATCAAGGGACCCTGGGTCCAAAAGGCCTACTTGTGGAATCCAAGGTACCTGGTGGAATTTAAGTGACTTTAAATGTGTTCATCAAAAGTAAGCCAGTCCTTGTAACTAAAGAACAGATTGGCTCACCAAATAATAAATATCACCCATGAATACTGTGCTCCTTCCAGAAATCACCTGTGTGCGACCAAAGAGTCAGCAGTGACTTTAGAACAAAGGCAAGGAGGAGAAAGGAAAACTAGATGCATGGAAACAGAACAACCTGAAGGGAAATAATGAGACTATTTATACATTGTGAAGAATATTTCCAATGTCACTGAATAATCTATGTAGAAATTGTAAACCTTCCCTGAAAACGCACTACAATGTGTATAGATTTTAAAGTAAACCGGTTGTGCTTGCGTCAGAGCAGACTAAAAAGTGACTACCTGATAGTTCACTGTTGTATGAGACCGTCAGAGGCTCCAGGCTTAGCGGAAACACTTCAAACAGAGTCCGCGAGCTCACTCGTTTGTGTCTGAGTGTGCATTTCCACTTAGGAAAAACACACATGCCAGCCCAAATGCCAAAAAAGTATATAGCAGGGCCATAAAAGGCAAAAGAAACGTGTGGGAGTCACTAAGGGACAGACAGACAGAGGACGGCGTCGTCTGTGGGGACTGTTCTCAGGGACTGTCATTTGCCATGTGAGGCTCAGTTTGCACAGAGACCTGGAAAAGAAGAGCGGGATGCAGGTCGCACTTGAACTACCCAGGTGCTTGTGAGAGGCCCCCTCCAGAGAGCTTTCTTAACGGAGCGTGAGGAAGCCTGGGGGCCCTGAGCAGAAGGGCTGGTACGTGCTCGGTGAGTACACCATCGCCTCCTTGTCTTCCAGGCCATAGTGAAGGAGTGTCCGCCCGCAGACCCTGAGGACAAGAACAGCATCAGCACTGCTATCTTCTACTCCATCAGTCTGGCCCAGCCTGGCCTCCAGGGCGTTGAGCTGGGAACATTCCTTATAAAACGTGTCATAAAGGAGCTGCAGGTAAGGGTGGCAAAGGCAGATGCTCCCATTCCCCTGAGGAATCTCAAGGGGGGTAGGGTTTCATGAGTGACAACAAATCCTAGTGGGTGGCCCTCTGGACAGGGATGAAGACAGGAGCTGGTGTGCTCTGTGCAGTTGTTAGCAGCCGCAAGCTTACCAGTAATGGGGGCAAGGTGGGCAAAGCCATCCAGCCTCCCAGTAGTCCAAGCACTGTGGCTGTATCCTAGCATGTCAGCCCTGCCGAGGGGACCCTATGTTGCGGGGTGCCCGGGACAGTCCTGAATGCCAGGACTGCCTGCTGCCCTTCTCTCACGTGTCCATAGCCAGCCTCCCCCGGCCTGTGGCTTTGTAACCGACAGCTGGCAGGAGTTCATCACATTTGGAAGCCACGCTGAGAGGTGTGTTTTGCTACCTGTGAACCACCCGCTGAGGCTTCTCTGTACTTCTCTCTGTCCTGCCCTGCCCTGCGCCCCCCACTTCACAGACAGAGTTCCCTCACCTGCAGACCTTTTCCAGTCTGTCGCCCATACCCGGCTTCACCAAGTGGCTCCTGGGCCAGCTGAGCTCGCAGAAGGAGCACAGCCGGAGCCAGCTCTTCACCGACTCGGAGGCTCGGGAGCTGGCCGAACTCACCGGCGGGCCCATCGCCGAGACCCTCAAGGTCTTCCTCAGCGGCTCTGAGTGGGCCAAGTCCGAGAAACTGGTGCGGGCGCTGCGGGCGCCCCTGATGAGACTCTGCGCCTGGTACCTGTACGGCGAGAAGCATCGCGGTTACGCCCTCAACCCCGTCGCCAACTTCCACCTGCAGAACGGGGCTGTGATGTGGCGGCTCAACTGGATGGCCGATGAGAGCCTCAAGGGCGTCAGCAGCTCCTGTGGCCTGATGGTCAATTACCGTTACTACCTGGATGAGACGGCCACGCACAGCACTTCCTACCTGGGCTCCAAACACATCAAAGCCTCCGAGCAGGTCCTCAACCTCGTCTCCCAGTTCCAGAAGAACAGCAAGCTGTAGCCAGTACCTCACCCTGAGCAGGTGTCCCGCCTCCAAAAAGGTGAATTTTCCCCATGGGCCACAGAGGGTGATGTAGCCAAAGGCGGTTTTGTAAGTAAAGCAGAAAACCCCCCTTTGTTCTCCTCTCCGTGGCAGGCCCCTCCCCACCCCCCCACCCCCTACACACACACCCGCTCTTGTCGTCTGGGGAAACTGGTACCGGTGTGAGGTGAGGGGCTGCTCTCAGCCTGAGGAGCCCAGAGTCCGCTGTGGCCTGGGTCAGGGATGTGGCCTTACCTGTCTTCTGAAAGGTCCAGGAGTGGGGCTGGGGGCTGTCAGCCTTTTGAGGACCAAGGCAGGCAGTCCAAGGAGAAGCCTTTTTGAGCCCATAAAGAAGAATTCCGCCACAGCCACATGAAGCCCTTTCTTTCTTTCCACTCGTCGCAAAGGGAGTACGGGGCTGAGCTACATGTTACCAGTCAAAACTGGAAGATTCTAGAAGTGTGAAAAGCTTGGTGACTTGGCACAGAGTTGAGTAGGGTAATCATTGGGTGAGCTTTGAGACTCTAGAAAGACAGCCGTCCCAGTTCATACTGAACTGCCTGGTAAAGAACAAATATGTTCTTTGACGCATTAAACACGTGCTTATTTCAAACCACCTGTGGTTGTTTTTAAGATTCCAGATACTGTCCCGTGGCCTCCACTCAGCATTGTCAGTGGGTGCTCTGGAAGGACCAGGTCTTCAGAACACAGGGGAGGGCGGGAGGGGGGCGGCTGTGTGTGTGTGTGTGTCTGTCTGTCTGTCTGTCTGTGTGTCTGTCTGTGCGGGGACCTGGGGGTGTCTACGTTTCAGGGCTTCAAACCCGTTCATTCCAGGTCAACTCCCTGCAAGAATGTGCCTTTCCAGCCCAGGCAGACAAGTGCTGAATCGAATCGGACTCTACATTGTGACATGGTCTTACGTATACATCGTTAGGTATACATCGCTAGAATGCGCGGCTTGCTGAGTCCTGGTTGGGGCAGTCACCGGCTTCTCAGCTTGGCTCTGGGCTGACTTGGAGGCCTTTTGCTGTCTGCATTTAGTGTCCAGTGAACCTCCAGCAAGCAGTCTGACCTCTTCTGGAGGCAGAATGGTTTGTGGCAGGACCTCACCCCAGACCTGCAGCCGTACTGACACCTCCTTCAGCCTCAGGTCATCTTTGTCATCTTTGGCCTCTGTCTTAAACTTCAGACCCTGACAGCCTTCCGCGTTTCCTTGTCTTGCCTCTTGAATAACATGGAAAGTTCTGCACTCATTCACCTCTGAGCAGTGGCATCTCGCCTGCCCCATATGAAAAAAATAAAACACACAATGCCTACAGCTTTTCTTGGCCCACTGAACAGAGCAAAGCAGACTGCAGCAAAAGCGTGTCCTGCAGCACTGGCTGCCCACTGCCCAGTGCCGCGCTGTGTGTCCTGCACTAGCAGCTCCCCACTGTCCAGCTGGCATCTTCCCGGGGGGACATGGTCGCAGAGTACAGACTCTCCGCCTCCCAGACATGGTTTCCGTCTCACTACCTGTTCAGCTGCTGCCACACTTCTCTAGTGGTGCTGACGCACAAAAGCTACAAGTGAATCCCTGCAGCAGACACACATATTCTCCCTCAGTGTCGGAGGCTGGAAGTCCAAGTTCAGAGACCCGGCTCTAGGGGAGGCCTCTCTCTGTTGACTGAGAAAAGAGAACGCATCTGTAGGCCCAGCCTTCCGTGGAGATCTCCGTGTGTCTTGGCAGCTGTCTTCCCCTGGATCTAGGAGTCTCACATGCAGGGACCCTCCAGTACTGAGGCTGCTCTCCACTGCAGGCTCTTGGTAGCAGTGTGTCCGTCTCTGCTCACTGCTTTCATGTTGCAAAGTTGACTCAAGATACAGCCTACTTTCTGTAGACGACATCTTGCCCCAGTAACATAATACAAGTGAGGGTATCTAACACAAGGTAAACCCCTCAGATCTGGGGAGGCTTCTGTCAGATTGGAGCTCACTGTGGAGGTAATTACGCCGGAATTGATAAACCACAGAATCCTGGCCCAGACAAGATGACACAGAACCATCACTGTCACTGGCTCTGGCAGCCACTCCGGCCACAGTGTCTTCTGGGAAGGGTATTCCCCACGCCCTCCACACTGGAGGAGCTCAGGAGTGTCATGAGTTGTGCTGTAAAAGTTCCCATCGGGCCCCAGCATGTCACCCCTGGGAGTCAGTGTCCCCTCCTTCCCCACACACTCCACCTTGGAGCCTGCCTGTCTCCTCCCAGACCACTGATGTGTGTTCAGGCATGCGACAGACTAGCTGCTTTTGGGGGTCCACCGCTTTGGGGGTTTGGTTCAGCATATCCCAGGTGTCTTTTGCTAAAGGGGGTGTGGGAAAGGTCCCATCCCGTGGTTTGTGAAATCCACATCCCAGCGGTGCGGAAGCTTGTGGCCTTGTTCCCATGAGCCTGGCCTGGCCAGTGCGTGACAGTTCTAACCCTATGAAAGGCATGTGGAGACCAAGGCTCAGTTCACCTCCTGCTCTGTCACTGTCTAGGTGGGCAGCCTGGAGCAGTCAGGGGCCACCCCAACACCATCCCCACGGAAGATGGAGAGCCCCACAGACGACAGTGTCCACAGGGCTTGACAGGGATTCCTGCCGTTGTCATGATGACAGACACGCACACGCCACGGGCGTCTGCTCAGTGTGCACTCACAGATCTGGGGCACATCGTCGGCAGGTCTCGTGTTGTGGCTCTTGGTCACCGTTTCTCTAAAGTGATCAGCACCCTTAGATGACAGGACCTCCTCCCCCACTTACTGAAGAGAGCCCCACCTGGCAGGCCAGCCCACCTAGCTATGTGGCCTCCAGCCTCAAGTCACCGGAACCAGTATTCTGTACCCTGGTCTCCTGCCCCACAGCTGTGTCCTGTGGAGTCACTGTGTCCTCAGCCATTCACCAGCCAGCTGTTGTCCTATCCCAGCTGCGATCCAGTCAGCACACTGTGGAAGACCCCATGTGTGTCAGAGCAGAGCTGTGCTCTAGGGTTTCAATGGCAGGTTTTTTAGAAGAAGAAGGTCACCGAGTGGCTCTGATGAGGTGCAGCTGGATGGATTCCAACCTCCAGCCTTCAGGGGCAGCCGCGGGCAGTGTTTATAGGACCCGGCAGCTCCCCTCGTTCCCTCTGTGGCTTAGCAACAAGATGTAAACGGTTTTCTAGCTTTAGTTCATTCTGGGCTTCGCTAGAAACAAAATGTGGGACGTATTTATGATTGAAATGGAGAGGAGTCTTTCAGATCTCAAACTGACTTTCAAGTCATCCATTGGAACATGAAGCCTGTTTTGATCTATTCTGAGAAATCCAAGCTGCCTAGTGACTTTAGTAAATCTGTTTTTGTGTCTTTGGTGGAAATGTCCACAGAAGATTCAGTTTCCATGTAACAGTGACAACCCAAATTGTTCAGAGACAACAGTCCCGTCTCCCACGATGAGTTTGCGTCTTCATTCCCTGCTGAGTGCTTTCCTTCTAGTCACCTGCTTTCCAGCCCTTCCCCTTTCATTCTCACTTTGGAGTTGTGTGGTTGCCGTGTGGTTTCTCCTTCAACCCAGAAGATTCCTGTGTGATTCAGGGGAGCGATGACCTCGGCCCTCTTTCCAAGTCACATTGGCCTTTCTGCTTGAGCCCACTGACCACTGGGAGGAAGAAAGGAAAAGAGCATTCGTGATCTCAACCAGCGCCCACCCCACGATGAGGGGACCACTGTGGGACGGGCAGCGTGAGGGGCAGCGAAGCAGAAAGTGGTCTAGCAGGGCAGGCGAGGACGGGAGCTGGGGAGCGGGCCCATGTTTTAGGTCGGGTCAGTGTCTCCTCTGATGTGTCTGCGACTGCCATGACTAGAGTCCAGCACCAGCTAGTCCAGGGTCCACAGAGGTCACTTCAGCTTTGGCCACAAGAAGCAGCCCCTACCAGGAACCTCCCCGCTACCCTACCTGAGGAGAGGTGAGGGGCGTGTCCCCCCAGGAGTCCGGCTCAGATGAGGCGTGTCTGCATCAGTGAGAAAGTTGTTCCTTCATGGTCCCGGCCACAGAGCCTCCTGAACGCAGCCAAGCAGCCAACGTTCCACGGGCCTCTCAGAGGAGGCCGAGACCCGGGGCTGCTGGTCTTGGTGGCCACTCACACCCAGAGCTGGGGTGGATGATGGAGTGAGACCCGGCCAGGTGAGCAGAGACAGCTGCTCAGAATAGAAGGGGGTTCCCTGGGGGGCGCCAGGGCACACTTACCTTAGGTCTGAGACCACTGCCTTGGTATGTTCTGAGAACTTGGGATTCTCAGTCAGCCCCTCTCAGGGGCGCTGTGCCTCTATATGCCCACTAGATGGCAGTGTTGCACCTAAGGCAAACACTTTCTTTCCCAGACCAAACCACAAGCCTACTGTCCCCTAGGCGCTGGATCAGAACCAGCATCTTCCTGGGGTGCAGGTGTGTGGCTGCTTGCAGAAGTCTGGGAGAGGAGCCCGACTCGGCTGAGAGGAGAGACAGGACTCCTAAACTTTAGACGGGAAGAAGCTCTCAAACCCTCTAGGCTGAGAGGCCAAGTTTGCTGCCTTCAGCTGCTTGCTGACCACCACTGTGATTGTCGTATATCACAAAACCGAGTGGTCACTGTCAGCAAACACAAGTTAGCAGTTAAAATGCACAACGAAAACCAAACCTGCTGCCACCCAAGGCTTTTCTGACTTACAGTAACCTCAGGGGCCAGACTAGCCCAGAGGGTTTCTGTCATCCTTACGAAAATAGGAGGCCACACATCTTCGTTGGTGTATCTGGTGGGATTGAACCTCCCACCTTTCAGTTGGCAAGTCAAACGCTGTATGCACTTCACCACCAGAGCTCCTGTGTCTTCCTTTTGTTGTTAAGTGCCTTCGACTAGGCGCTAAACAACCGTGAATAGGATTTCCAAGTAACGGCTGGTAGGTTTGAACCACTGACCTGGGTTAAAGATGTCATAACCACAG